ATTGCATGATAAAATCGCATTTTACAAAAAGCCTACTGCTACTTGAGGAATTATGTACAAAGTGTTAGCTCCAGCAAATAGATGATGCAGGGTTCATTTAATTAATTATTTTCCATCCAGCCCGTCATAAACTAATATTGCGTGTGCATCCGGCAGACAGGGTAGAACAGCCATAATTCACCGATTGCTGTATTGAACATGAACTACTCAGGAATCGCGATAAATTGGTTGTGGCACCCACTTGAGGTGCAAATTCAATTTCCCAGACTTAGCTCCTTCTAGCTGGAAGCTTTCCTTGTATTCCTCTTCCAATAAAACCCTGGTCAATGTCAAAATGCATCTTCCCATGTAGTCCTGCCATGATGGAAAACTTTGTTAGTTCCATTAAAATGTAAGCACTGTCAAAGCTACCTGCTAATTTTAAAACATCAGAGAAAAAAAAAAAAAAGCAACAACTTCTTACCACTTGGCATGCAGCTTTCAAATCAAAATTATGCACACACGTTCCTTCACATTAATTTATTAGTGTAAAGTTTTATATATGTATCTCTATTGAGAATCATGTTTGGGAATATATGTCATTACTAAGCTTTAGTCATTAGTTAACCAGAAAATGGTAAACAAGTTGATGGTAATTAGCCAATTACATACCTTTCCAAATGTGTCATGGTCCCAAACTTCAAGGATTAGCATATCATGCAATCCATCCTCTACCATAAAGTCAAAAGTTTGATTCCAAACTGGATTCAAACTGTCATTAACAACCTGAGAAGAAAAAGGAAAGGACTTCTCTAAAGACCAAGAAAAATGTAAAGCTCAATTGCTTCAGTATAGAAGGCCAAAATGATTAAATGTAGGTTGTAGCCATTTGCCATAATATTATGTGATGCAAACGAAAATAAATATAGAACAAAGAGACGAGAAAGGGCTATATTTATATGATATGTAGCACAAACACCTCTTTATCTTAACAAATAGCAGAAACAAAAAATCCACCTTATGCAATCAGAAACTTACCCTAGTTCTGTTTTTTGCCTCTGATTTCTTCAATGTGAGTACAACATAGGGGTCAGCCTTCCCCATTAAGTCTGTTGCTGGCAAATCGTCAGCAGATATGACAGTTACAGACAGTACTCCTCTGACAATAACCTCTTTTCTTTTCTCTGTGACAGCTTTTACGTTTTCAACAGCTTCTGTTCCATTAACTCCGCTTTTAAGAACCCTCTCCAAGGAGGTCATTGAAAAATTAGAGGCAAATGGGTTTGTAAAACCATTTTCCATGCTCAAAGGACAGTACAAAAGCTCCAGGTGCACCTATAACCAAAATATCATTTGGAGAAAAACATATATATTAGATCTCATAAAGACACAAATGCCAAACAGATACACATCAAATGTACGAAACTACAAAACAAATTCACTCCTCTCAATATAACATTCAAAACAGGTAACCAGAGCTCTCACCTGCCCCCTGTACTTATTATCTCTCTGGATCTCCAAGTCTTTCACCAGATTCAACCACACATCCTTCACTTTACCAGGCTCAAGCTCCTTTAGCTCTACTTGAGCACATCCAATTAGCTCAGCTCCTTGAATCCCCTCACTATCATAAATTTTTACTACCAAGTGTTGAGTTGATGTATCATCAACAGTAAACTCGTAGTGTTCATTCCAGATTGGATTTAAATCATTGTTCTGAAAAGCAAAAGTTATGGACATTCACTTAAACAAGTGGAAATGTTATAGAAACATTTTATGAGGAAATATTAAGAAAAAAAAGCTTTACAAGTTTTTTTAGCAGGGTGACTTACAATTGTTTTGCTGGTTTTCATTTTATCAGGCAAAGGGCGCACGTATAATACAGCAAAAGGATCTGATTTTCCAATGATATCTTTGTTTGTTAAGTCCTTTGCCTGAACAAGCTTCACCTCTAATATTCCAACAGGCTTTAACTCCAGATCACTGAAGAAAGAATGACAATTAGCTTCTTTTTTTTCTTTTTTTTTGGGTACATCAAATGGTGGGCTATACAATAGGAGATAGCCCTTCCTTTCCCTTAATCACTCCCTCCCCACCCATCTCAATGTTCGAACTCAAGATCTCCAAACTTGAAGTCTCAAGCTCTTAACCACTTGAGACACCCCTTAAGGGCATGACAATTAGCTTCTGTGACAGGAGAGAAATTTTATAAACCAACAGTAAACACTGTTGGATATTTAGTTTGAAATGGTATCAAAATTATTGTAACTAAATATCCAAGGAATTTTAAAATGTTGTTATTCTAGGCTTGATATTGATTGGCAAATTATGTCTTAAGTATGAATTAAAGGTTTTCCATGAGACATGACTATTAATCAAATGGACATATCCATTTATTTTGAATGAATAGACACAAGCATTCATTGTGAAAGGTCATGCCTATTGAAAGGTTATAAGGTTATAACCTTTGGTCAAATGACATAACCTTTAGTTGTGTCTTTTAAGCCTAGAAATATATGAAAGCCTAAGTCAAACAAATAAGATAATTTTCATTCTTTTCATGGTTTCTCTAGAGAGAGCTTAGCTCTTAAGTTCTGTTGTATCATAGGGGCATTTTGATGCCCTAAGGATAGTGATTTTGTTCACGCCTCATGACACTTCTTTCTTTCTTTATCTTTCTACTGTTTATATACTAACTTTCCTAATAATCACATCTGTATCTCCTCCCTGAAATAAAAGCAAAGACATGACCCCCTAAACAGCTGAATTAGTTTATTCAAAGGCACAGCACAAAAATCATCTCCATTGTGGCATACACACCATGTAAATTTAAGAGTATTATATTGGCCAAAAAAAAAAACTTGAGAGCAATATATGCATAAGTTTGATGACAACAGTTTCATCTCATAAACCTAGGACATAATACCACATATACTAGGAAAACCACCTTGTTCATCAAACAAGTCTCTTTTAAATTCTTCATATTTTTTATCTTGCCCTCCATGCAGGATTGGGGCCACCTGCAAGCCATCCAGCAGCCCCAAGTCCTTTTCTTTTGCATAATAAATTAAATAAACAAAATGACAAATAATAAGAAAGCAAACAGACATACCTATAATCTCCAGGCAAAATAGGAATAATTTTTCTAACAGGCCAAGTGATGGAATCTTCAATAGCATTTCGTATTGTGTCCTGTATGAGAGAAATATATAATTAACATATAACATGAATATGTAATGAAGTAACATCTTTCAACTAGTTGAATCAGAGAAATAAAAAATCAGTGCATTTTATTACAATGTAGAATAAATTTAAGGCTAACCAATTAGGTACATGATCAACACTAGCACTGTAGAAGTATGTCAATGTATTTGAATATTTAAAAGTAAAGAAACAGATAGCAATATATCACCTTCACACAGAGTAAAGATTATTTGTACTGGACAATTCTTTCATACAATTTGGTTCTTCTCATTACCTCAATTGAAGCACCAGAAGATAAATTATAATGTTATAATGTCTGCTAATGAAGGCCATAACCTCAGTCTGAACATAATTCTAAATTTTGGACCTGTTCCCAATGAGATGGGTTCAAATTCCAATGCAAAAAATAAATAAAGATTCAGTGCCTAATTGTGCAGATGAGAATTAAATCTTAAAGGTTCTAAATTTGAAATTTAAAAAGTTTTAAGTGCACAAAGTGGATATTTGGCAACACAACAAATACAGGGGAACAATCATGCTGAACTGCAATATCTAGCAAGGTAACAAATGGTTATAAGTTACACAAACCTCAATGGCACCAGAAAGTCCAGGAACTGAGCCTATGTCACCACCAATGACTTTCAGTGTATAGTCCAACTTTTTCTGCAAGCCAACAAAAATGTCCACTTAATCATATCCATTACTTTCATGCAAAAGAGTTTTTTCTAGTGTGTCTATGACTTCATTAGTGGTGTGTGAGTTGCCTGTCCATAAGCGTGCATGTTTTTTTCTTTCATTTCCAGATCTACTTACTACATTCATGCAAACTGGTAGAATCTATTCTCCATAACTCTGCTAGCTGGGATGAGGATATGGCTTTTGAGAATCATTAAGAAGATCTGTTGCTTGGGTTCCAGGCAGATCAGATGGCAGCGTTTTTGCCTACCATCAGTGGTGTCAATCTCCCAATTTATGTGTTAAAAACTTGTGGGCTTAGAGTTTTGTTGGTAGTGGATGCATATTTTGATTTGGCTGTGTATTTTGTGTTGAGTTCCGATGACTGCATGAGTTGTACGTGAAGCTATTTGTTGTATATGGGTTGGAGCACCCCTTATACTCCAAATAATAATTTTTTTATTCATCTAAAAAAGAATACAGGCAGAATCTTATTATATATATATATATAGATAGATTAATGTTTATCAGCCAGACTTGTAAAAAATTAGGCAAAAATAAATTTTAAAACTATGTCATTTTAATAAAGCTTTAAGAGAAAAGACTAGAACATCCTCATTCCTACTTTAAAAATAATTAGGATATTTTACTCTTTTTCAATAAGATCTTATTAAAACAACGTAGTTTTGGGATATTTTTCCACCTAATTTTTTGCAATAAAAGCTGATACCCACTTTTTTGATATATATATTATGTAGAGATTAATACTTATCCACCTTACCTCTTAATAATTAGGAGGAAAATTATTCTAAAATTATGTCCTTTCAATAAAGTGCTAGAAGAAAAGACCAAAAATAGTCTAATTCATACTTTAAAAATAAGGTATTTTAGTCTTTTTCAACAAAAGTTTATTGAAATAACATAGTTTAAAATAATTTTCCTCCTAATTTTTGGGAGGTAAGGCGGATGGACACTATTCCCTTATATATATTATATACATCATATATTAACAACTTATTCTTCCGAGTGGAAGGAGTTTGATTCTCCTTAAGCAAGGTCTCGAGTTTGAGTCTTGTGAATGGAGAGATAGGTGCTTAGAGAGCTTCCCACTTATGGGGCTTGACAAATTAGTTAAAACCCAATGTGGCTTCTAGATATTGGGAGGTTTAGTATCAAAATATATATATATATATATATTCTATAATATGAAAAGCAAGACAGAACCAATAAAAAATCTGCTGAATATTAGATTGAGCATCATAATGCAATAGTAATGAGGTATGCTAAACAAGTAATTAAAATCCTGCCTGCTAACATCCTAATAACGTATAGTCATATGAACATTTTACTTGTCCACTGTCAATCAACACACACAATGCAAAATATTCTACACGGAATTAGAAAGAAATATCGCACCTTTTTACGCAGAGAAAAGCAAACAGCTCCAAAGCAAGGGAACTCATTAACCAGTGGCTTAAAAATCAACCTGAAAACCCCAGTGAATCCAATTTCTTTCACCTAAATCAAAGGAAAAAAGGAACTAGACATAAACTGATGCTATTCTACAGGGAAATCTCAATAACTTGATATAAAGCATTTATATCTTTCAAACACAAAAATCCTGGCAGGTCCTTTTTTTTTTTTTCATAGCAAGATTCATGAAATTGAAAAACAAAGCTCAAGGAAAAAAAAATACTGCACTATTATTTTATTTTTTAAAGAATGAAAAAACATTTAAAGTACAGACCTAGGAGTAAGTTGACATTAAAAGATTATAGTTATTAGTTAGATTGATAATTATGACCCTTGTGCATGAAGCTAAATTCAAGAAGAAACTTAAGAAGGCCATGCATGTCTCCTAAAAGAATTAGCATTTAACAGATTAAGTTAATTCAATAAACTAGAAATACAGATCTAGGAATAAATTGACATTAAAAGATTATAGTCATTAGTTAGATTGATAATTATGGCCCTTGGGCATGAAGCTAAATTTAAGAAGGCCATGCATGTCTCCCAAAAGAAATAGCATTTTAACAGATTCGAAGCAACATCAATAAACTAGAACTACACCTATTGTAATATTATGAGCTTAAATTATAGAATCTTGAAAAATTACAGATAAATGTAGGAGAAGCTAACTCAATAAACAGAACCCTTTCTTGGTATGATGAAAATCCCACATTCCCCTCATCATCTTCTATAAATCTAATGGTTGTTAACCTCATTCCTCAACATGTTCGGTGTCCTTAACAGAAAAGGTTAATTGCAATTGAAAAATAAAAAAACCACTACTCAAAATAATTACAAGTCACTCATAACATAAGTAAATTAAACATCCTATATGCTCATACCATACATGGTATCATGAATAACTTTCCATGTCCAGACATAAGCTATCAGAAAATGACTTTGACAAAGATCAGTATCATTAGAAAAAAGGATCAGCTTCAATTTCTTGATTCCTGAACCAAATCTGCTGTGTGTTCAAACTCAATTGCATGCCATCATTCACAAACCAGAAATTTGGCAGCATGACACAGAATTGCTTTTTAAAAATGAGGATAAAGGAAATGCAGCTGCTTATAAGAAATATGCTGCATCATTTAAAAGCAATCCATGGACAATAGAAAATTCAAGCAAATAAGCAAAAATGGCACACATTACCTGCACAGGAAGTGCTACACCAAGCATGGTCTTTATATCAAGTATTATACTTTGATTTCCATCCCAAGTGAGTTCCAACTCCATGGTAACACCATCACCACCATCTTCAATGATAGATACTCCTATATAAGAATATGGTTCGTAAGAAGTTGAAGAAAATTAAATTTAAAACACTTCAATTCACATAAAAGCTTCATTAAAAAATTCTTTCCTTTTCTCCTTATCTTGGGGATTGGGATTGAGGAGCGGAGGTACAGAACAAAATGGCTACAACTTATGGTTGCCATTACTCTTTATCACTTTCAAATGCAAAACAACTAAGCATTAAATTATTTCCAGCAATAATAGTGAAGAATAAACCCATCTACAAAATGGGGATCAGAAATTGAACTTCCCATTACAAACAACTAACCTGTGAACTGTGGTGGAACAGTACCAAGAGTGAACTTGGAAAACTTGAGAGAAGCAAGTATGATCGGCCTATACTGTTCGAGTATGGGCTCCACCGAAGCCTTTATCAGTTCAGATGCAGCCTAAAGAAAACAAAATTTGAAACCATTTTCTCATTTTTCACTTTACTTATTTTTTTCTGCCCATTAAAAGGGAAACGCTGCACAGAAAGAGTAAATTGGAGTTACCTACCTCACTAACATAGGGCCAGATCTTCTCAAGATGTTGATTGAGCCAAGTCAACTTCTGGCGCTGGGAAAAGACGACCCAAGAAGGATAGAAGTCGCCCGGCAAGATCTTTCTAGAATCTTCTACTGTCATCCTTGCAAAAGCAGCTATAGTCCTTGCCTGGAAGCCAAATCAAGATCAAATAACAAAAGAATCAAAAAAACTGCAGAAACTAAGAAAACGACAAGCGAATGAAATCGCCAGTTCAAAAAGGAGGAGAAACACTAACGAGCTCATTTCGGCGCTTGGATCGGGAGTTCTCCGAGCGAACAAACAGTACTATAATGGCAATCCCGACAAAGATGCCGATTACCAGACCAACCACAAACCCCATTTTCCGGCGATTTCCCGAAGAGAGTAGAAAAGAGAAGCGAACGGTGTTTTTGTTGGTTGGTACGAAATAATTAGAAGAAAATAGGAAAAAAAAAAGAGAGAGAGAGAAATAGAGTTTTACAGTTTATGGATTAAGCAGTGTCGGATCATGTAAGAACGGAGAGATGGGGTCTAACCTTGTGGGAATGCAATGAAGTTTGTGTTTGGTCGGCTGCTGCTGTTGCCGACACAAAGCCGACCTTCTTTAGGGGACGTAGCTTTTGGATTCATCAATCATCATCCAATCTAATCTTGACACGTAAGATGAATGAAGAACAATCAAGGGTGTCCCCCGCTTTTTTCTATTTTTTGGTCCAGTGTCCCATCCGTGTTTCCGTGTGCCCGAGTGCGCTGTCCGAAGTCCGAACTCTGAAGGGGATTAGGTACATATATAATCCGTCGGCTTAATGTTTATTAAATTTTTTTTTACTTTTTAAATAAAAATTTAAAATAAAAATATTTAATAAAAATTGTATACAACAAAAAATTCTTTTAATTATTATAAATATAAATGGTTAAATTTTTATCTTAAATATATATTTACAAAATTAAAAAATTAAAATAAGTTTATTAAAAATGAATGAAAAGAATAATATTTTTGAAAGTTTATATAATGAAAAAAAAAACTTTTTAATACCAACTTATATTTTTATGCAGTTTAGATATTAAAATTATTTAAATATTTTTAATAAAATTGTATTTTAAACTTATTTATTAATGATATTTTTACAATTTTAATTCTTGAATTAAAAAAAATCTCCACTGAAAACTGCTTCTCTCATTAAAAATATAATTTTTTTCTTTATTAAGCCAAGTTAACCCCTTTTAAAAGTTTTTAATTAAGTGTATTCTTGATTAAAATTTTTTTAATATGTGATGGTAGTAAAATAGTAAATATTTTTAATTAGATATTTTTAAAAGATGGTACACTTAATTAATAAAAAAATATTTATATTTTTAATTAAAAAATTTTGAAAAAACTTATTTTTACCAAATCTCCAAATAAAAAGACTCTATTTGTTAAGTTGCCGGCTTGAATTAGAAAATTAAACTTTTGGACACCAAAAATCTGCAAAATTTTATGGAAAACTCTTAAATTTACAAAGTCTAAAACTTTTAACTTTTTATTCCTAAACTTTTAACTCTTTATTCCTAAATTTTTAACTCTTTATTCCTTACCTTACAATTTAAAGGTTTTAACCCTTACTCTAATCTATTCAAAAAAAGATACACGTTGTAAAATTAGACTTAATCTAAAAATATGACTCAATTCATCTGTTATGAGTCTAGTTATGAGTCTTATTTGTTAATCCAAAATATGAAATGACTTAAACTTAAATTATTCGAATTCAATGGGTTAGGTTATAGGTGGATCGAGTTACTCGAAATTATTGAAAACTTTTTTATTATTTTTATGAGATTACTTAAAAATTAATTTTTAATTTTTAATTTTTTAATTCTAAAAATAAAAATAAATAAAATATTTATATCCTAATCTCCCATCAATCTCACACTCTCTCAACTTTTTCTTTTTTCCATTTTTCCTCTCCCCTTCTTCATCCTAAACTCTTTGATCTTTCTCTTTGATAGCATTCGCGTCGAAAATCAAATTATGTGGTATATAATGAGCTATGTCATGCATCACCATCAAAAAGATCTTTTTTTTTTTCCTCTTTTATAATATGAAAAAAGAATGCCTATTAAAAATCAAAATATAGTGTTTGAGGCTCATCACCATTAAAAGCACAAAAACAAGAACATAAGGTTAGTTTTTCGTTGCTAATTTGTTATTAATTAATACAAATCAATCTTGATCCAATTTCTTTTTGTATTTATTTAGATATATTTTAGATTTTCTTTTTAAACTTTAATATTGAATAGGGTTATATTTTTTTATAATATTCTTTTAAATATTAAATAGAATTGTATTTTTGTATAATATCCTTATAAATATTATATAGGTATTAGATATTAACATATACGTTAGATTTGTTTTTTGAACTCTAATATTTTATATTTTTTCTTTTAATGAAGGTTAATACATCTACAAAATTATGGATTCAAAATATTATATAAACATTATATATCTAACATATATTTTACTTCCATTTATGTAATTAGTAATTTTTTCTCATTTCTTTTCATGAGATTGGAAAGAAAATTAGTTCGTTAATAAAGTTTTCTAATTAAATAATTAACTAGTATTAAATTTGTTTAAAAAAATAAAAAATAAAAAATAAATTTTAATTTTAATTTCAATTTTTTAAAATATTAGATTCACCCGAACTAATATAAGACCCCGTGGCTGTATGCTTTTTACCCGATACTTAAAATAATCAAATCCAAAAAATCCAAATTTCAAGACCACCCAACCTGCACCCATCCAATTCAACCTGTTTATCAGGTCTAAAGAAAGACACCAGAATTAATGGAAAATGATCACGCCCGTCATGGTGCATTTACTTGTCCGTTACTCCTCCATTTATTCTACTGCGTAAATGGCATCGTGGCATATAAACCCCACTTTAATATTAATTTTTTTTTTAAATATAACAAATCATAATTAAATTTATTATTTAATCTTTTATAATATAAAATAATTAATCTATTAAATTGAATGCCCGCTCCGACCTACTGGTATTGGATCCTGAGTTAGAACTGTTCACCTCCGTGGGTTGTACGTTCAAGTCTCACGGAATCCCTTTCTTCCCTCCCCCAATTAACCTTGTAAATAATTACAAATTGTTCAAAAAAATTAATCTATTAATTTTTTTTTTCATGATAATTATTGTGAGAAAGTGTCCATAGAAAAATAGGCCTTTTTTTTAATGTAAAAATAGACTCTCTTTTTTTTTTTACTTGTGACCTATAATACAAATTAAAGGTGCAATTGATAAATTCTTTTTATATTAATTTATTTTTAAAAAATAAAAATTAACTTTTATTTAATTAATTATTTAAGAAAAATGTGCATATTAGTCTTGATCATCAAAATAAATTTGGAGTCTTGTCCATAAATCATATTATTTATTTAATTAAAATTTAATTTAAAAATTTAAAATTATTTATTAAATATTGATATTTTTGATTTAAAAATTGATTATTTAAAATATATAATTAGTTTTCAAATTTAAATATTAACATTTAATATCATGAAATTTTAATTTTTAAATATAAATTAAAACTCTAATTATTTTTAAAAGTCAGAACTAATATGTACTAACATCATTATTTAATTAAATAATTTATAAGTATAACATTAAATCATTAATGATAAAATTAATGTCAAATTTTATATTTTTAATATAATTAATGTAAAAAAATATATTGATTGCACTCATAACTATTTGTTATATATTTTACAATAATAGTTAATGGTAAAAACCTAATTGCTTTTAAAAAAAGATTTATTTAAATTGTGTCCTTAAGTTAAAAATATATTAATTACATTTTTTATAATTAATTTATATAAACAATAAATATTAACTTTAAATTTATCAATTATCTAATTAAAATCATATATGTGACATCAATGTTAAAATAATATTTATTTTTATATTTTATTATATAAATTTATTAAAAAAATACAATTAATATACTTTTAACTACATAAGGTGGAAAAATCCCTTAACAATTAATGTTCCTGGATTCCCTTCGGCATCCATCGATTACCCCAAGTGAGCATCATTTAACCTCTTTGCAAGCACCACTTTGCCACTTAGCCTGGCTGTTCTATCTAGTCAGTTGAGACTCCCTGCCAGCCCACACAACTTTTGATCCATTTAAAAGATCCTTTTCAGCAACTACTGTTAGGATACGAGTTGGGTTTTTTTTTTTTTTTTACCATATATGGGAATTATGGAGAAGGGGAAAATATTAATTTTACCATTAATATTATGTGTATTATTTTAATTAGTAATTTAATTAAATATGTCTGTTACCCACTTAAAATCATTAGAGTGGCATTAATTATAAAAATAATTTATATTTTTATATTTTTAATGTCAATTAATATAAAAAAATACCCTTAATTTATATCATACAAGTTAGAAAAACCCACTTGAAAAAGTATATTCCTTCCATTTTAATTTAGTTATTCTAGCTTGATTATTTACTTATTTTTAAGTGATATTTTTTTTATAGTTTATAATAGCAATTGAAATTTTTTTTGATAAAATAAAATTACCTAACAAGTTTATGTACAAAATAATTTTTAAATTAGCATTCATATATTATTAAAAAAAATATTGTGAAAAATTAGTACATCTTAACAATTAAATACTAAAAATAATGAAAAAATTAGGACATCTTGATTTTTATTTTTTTAATTAAGAATATTACCTAAAAATATGTACATGATTAAATTTGGATAACTAAATGAGAACAAAGGGAGTGCCAACCAATTTAAATAATTTCGTAATAATTTTTTTAATAAAAATAAAAGATCTAATTCCAATTATATGATATATAAATAGAGTAGATTAAAAATTATAAAAAAGAGAGTTACTTTTATATTATAAAACTGAAAATTTAAAAATAATAAAACAGATGGAGTAATAATATATTAATTTTCTAGAATGACAATTAAAAGAGAACAAAAAACGCCGATAAAAAAAAACGGAAAAAGATTTTAAAGGAAAAAAAAGAAGGAAAAAGGTACTCTTCTAAATTTCTGATGGTTGAACTTTGACTTGCTTTTATCTTTGGGCGTGGGCTGTACCGTCTACCAGCTTTCCGGGTGGAGGGTAGAATATCGAAGGTTAAACCCTAATTTGGATCTTTAATTATTGTACAAAGTTTTAGTTGTTCCCTAAACTTAAAAAATACTTGATTTAATTCTTAAAAGTTTTAAATTTAACTTTAAATTCATCCTTCAATTAAAAAATAACCAATGTATCCATATTTGATAGTAGAAGACTATTACTTAACAACCTTGTGTAATATTAGTAATAGGACATGTTAGCTATTTTTAATGAGGAGACTAGCCTGGAATCAAATTTAGAAATTTTAGGGGACCAAATTAGGAATATTTTAAGTTCAAGAACTAAGTTAAAGATTTATACAATAGTTGAGGGACCAAATTGAAGATTTAAGCAAAATAGAAGTTAGGAAGATGCCTTGAATGTAACTTTGCAATTAAAGTCGGAGGATGGAAAGTCCATGTTTTG